ATAGGCTGTGAGGCAGGGCTATTTTTGGGCAGGAACGCACAGGAACGGAGCTCCGGCTGGCTCCCGAGTTGGCCACGCCCAGCAGGAACTCATTAGCATAATAGGCCACACCCAACAGCAGGAACTCATTAGGATTGGCTACATTAGGGGTGTGTGGCCTAACATGCAAAGGAGTTCCTGCTACAAAAAAAGGCCCTGGGTTTTGACAACAAACAAGGTAAAGAGAATAAGAAGCAAAAGGTGGGTGTGGCTGGATGACCACACTTCTGGTAACATGGGGGTGCGGCCTAATGTGCTAATGAGCTGTTCTGTCAGGGGTGTGGCCCAGTATGCTAATGAGTTCCTGCTGCTGGGTGTGGCCTGTTATGCTAATGAGTTCCTGCTGGGCTTTTTCCACAAAAAGAGCCCTGCTGTGAGGTATTTGCAAGCTTCTCTGCAGATAAAGTCTTGTTGCTCCGCCAGGACCTCCCAGCCACGATTGATACAGTAATGGAACTGGAAGCCCCTTGTCCATCTTCGGGTCTGCTTTTGAACCATTTCAGTTGCCTCTCCCAGGAACAAGTTGACAAGACCCTGGCAACTGTGAAGCCTTCATGCTAGGTCACCCAGTTCTGACTTATACCCAGGATTGAACTTTGTCGGTTTTAAAGGTGCCACTGGACTCAAACTCAGTTCTCACACTGGTTGTTAACTCTTCTATTACCTGTATGCCAAGTTGCTTCTATGCGCAGGTCTTACCAAATGCATTATCCCAACCTTAGCTGTATTTATTGCTCAGTTATTTTGACTCTAATTAGCCCTTCCTGGCAACTAATCCCCCCATCTATATGTTTCAATGTATCTAAGAAGTGTGTGCATCTACAGGTGTGAAGTCTCTTCGTTCTTGCTTACACCTGGAATTGACTTTTGTTGGTCTTGGAGGTGCCACTGGACTCAAACTTAGTTCTCACATGGAAAGACCATGAGCTGGCTGCTCAGATCTCCCAATATCCAGTCCACCCCTGGCTCCTGTTGCCATCTATACTGAAATGCAGATAGTATATCCCTTCATCTATGCTTTATAGTACAAGTTGGGTCACACTGGATGCTTTAATTCAAATCTGCCATTTCTTTAGGACTCTATGCATATGTGGTCCACACGCATGATTTCCGGTCTTAGGGAATCAGCAGGAAGAGGTCTATTCCTAACTTAGTCCCGCAGGGCTTGTAAGACAGAGATCTTCCGCCAGGTTTATGGTTGGGGACAGCAACGGTTTTTTAGTTAGCTTGGCTCCTCCTTCCTTCCCCCCCACCAGGAAAGGATACTGATTTGTGTGTTGCTGGTGCCATCTGAAATTGTTATATGTAATCTGGTCCAGAAATTACAGCTTGTCCCGAATGCAGCGGCGATTGTATTCACCAAGAATGCAGCGGCGATTGTATTCACCAGGAAAGGATACTGATTTGTGTGTTGCTGGTGCCACCTGAAATTGTTATCTGTAATCTGGTCCAGAAATTACAGCTTGTCCCGAATGCAGCGGCGATTGTATTCATGGGCATCCCGGTGTTGGCACATATTTGACCTGTGCTTCACCACCTGCACTGGCTCCAAGCTGAATACCGGATCCACTTCAAGGTTCTGGTTTTCACCTTCAGAGCCCTCAACGGTCTGGGGCCAACGAACCTGTGGGACCACCTCACCTGGTATGCACCCCAAAGAGCTTTACATTCGGGTGACCAAAACTTACTCGTGGTCCCTGGCCCAAAAGAAGTCCGGCTGTCCTCAACCAGGGCCTACAGTTGACAGCAAAGGTTCTTTACCAGGGCCTCTATGTGCCTTATCAGTCTCCCTATGCCATCGACTGTGTACTGTATGTTGCATTGTATATTGTTTTAATTGCTTAATTATTACTAATTTTATTCACTGTTTTAATGGTTTACTATGTTAACTATGATATACACTGCCCTGAAACCTTCAGAGGAGGATGGTTTATAAATTTAATAAATAATAATAATAATAATTGTTAGCTGTATTGTTAAGCTTATTTTAATTTTATTTTGATAGCTAAACTGAACCTTCATGTTCAGAGCAAGTTTGTATTCAAAGTAAGTATGTCCGATGGCATATAATAGTTGCCTTCTTGTCCTGTTTTGCCAGCTGCCCTGGCAGTGTTTGGCTAGCCACTGTTTGAAACAGGATGCTGGACTAGATAGACTTTTGGCCTGACCAGGTGGGGTGCTTCTTATGTTCTTATCTCCCAGTTTGGTGTAGTGGTTAAGTGCGCGGACTCTAATCTGGGAAAACCGGGTTTGATTCCCCACTCCTCCACTCGCAGTTGCTATATGAACTTGGGTGAGCCATAGTTCTGACAAGAGCTGTCCTTGAAAGGGCAGTTCTTGAAAGAGCTCTCTCAGCCCCACCTACCTCACAGGGTGTCTGTTGTGGGGAGGGGAAGGGGAATGAGATTGTAAAACGCTCTGAGACTCCAAGTGAGCGGGGTATCAATCCAATCTCTTCTTCTTCTTCCTTGTTGGATAAGGTTGTAGGTGTTGAAAGGAGTAAAACCAGATTCACTTCTGCCTTTCAAAACCTTTTATACACTAAATTTCACCTAGTAAAAAAGTTTTAACTATACTTTAGGGGAACCCAGGGACCATTTGTTTAACTCTGTGACACTTTTATAGATGCAGAACTGAGCCTGTGGAATTGGGTACATTTCCTTTTGACTTTGAAAGAGAGACTACTTTGTTCCCTACTGTGGAGCTCGGCTAGAAGAGTTGTTGCTACCCCCTGACCTTGCAGATAGGGCTGCCAGGCCCCCCTGGACACCGGTGGGCGATGGGGGGTAGGATTGCCAGATCCAGGTTGGGACACTCCCGTAAACATGGGGGGGAGGTGGAGCCTGGGAGGGCAGGGATCTCACTGGGGTACAATGCCATAGCGTGCACCCTCCCAAACATCCATTTTCTCCTGTCAAAGAACTTCTGATGGCTCAAGACATCTACAGTCTCCACAATCTTATGCTGGATGTTCTGATCTTGAAAACGGCTAGAAAAAAGACCAGAGAGTGCCTGACCCTAAGTTACTTCCTTGGTGCCTCTCCTGAGTTCTCATATCCAGCTAGGTTTTTCTCCTCCTCATGCTGTCTGGCTGAGGGCCAGCCTGATAATTTGTTGCCTGAGGAAATGGTGCTCCCTCCCACTCATTAAACACAACCCACCAGGAAATTCTGCTGTGCAAGCCACACCAGTATGCATGGGACTTGCACAAGAGCGCTATTACTTTCTCGCACAGCTGCCACTCATTGTGTATACGGGGAGCGTGCCAGAGATCTCCCTGATTTAGATCTTGGCTGCCCCATGGTTTAGATCAGGCTTAGATCTGACTGTCTTCAAATCTATTGTCATATTATCTTTTGTGTTGGAACACATGAAGTTGCCTTCCACTGTGTCAGACCACTGGCCTATCAAACGGCATCCCAAACCCGCCAGCCACCTCTCCTTATGGTAGGGCTCTTCTGCTTCCATGCTCACAATTAATGGGATTTTGTTTGTTTGCTTAATTGCCCTGTCTTTTCAGCCTGTGACTGCAGTGGGAAATCCAGACAGTGCATGTTTGACGTTGAGTTGCTCCAGCAAACAGGAAACGGATACCGGTGCCTCAACTGCATGGACAACACAGAGGGAATTAACTGTGAACGGTGCAAGGAGGGCTTCTACCACCGGCACCGTGGAGATCACTGTAGGCCGTGCGCCTGCAATCCCGTAGGTAGGTGGGTGACTTCAGGAGGGGTAATGGAGAGACCAGAAAGAAAAAGGAAATGAATTTTGGCCGGCTTGGGCGAAGAATAACAAGTTACATCAGTAGCACTGGAGCGAACTGTTGTCATCGGCTGCGGTAACTAAGGGCCGATTAAAAATCTGGGTTTTTTAACTGTCGCGTTTAAAGAGATTTAGCTGTATATCTAAAAATATAACCTGGAGGTGGAGACAAGTACAATCATTATAAAGGTGCGCTCATTAGAGAGCCAGGATGGGCTGTAGTTCCGTGTTAAATGTACACTTGGTTTTATTTTATTGCAGGAGTTTTTGAAAATGTGCAACCTAGACTTACCAACTAGGGTTGCCAGGTCCCTTCGTCTTACCGGTGTGTGGGGGGATCTGGGAGGCATTTTGGGAGTGGGTGGGGACGTCCCTGATGCAATGATGTCATACAGACGTGACACCATCACATTGGTGACATTGGGGGCGACGCTTTGGTTTTTGGGCAGAACTCTATGGTACAAAAACCATAGAGTTTTGCCCAAAAACCAGAGTGTCGCCATGCAACATCACTGTTTGGGGGCGGGGTTTCTCCTGCTGGCCAGCTGGCTGCCGGCAAACAGAAGCCCCCCAAACTGGGGGATTCTCCACCCGGACCTGGGGAATGGCAACCCAGCTACCAACTCTGGGATGGGATGTTTCTGGAGCTTTGAGAGTGGAGCCTGGGCAGGGTGAAGTTTGGGGAGGGGAGAGAGCTCAGCCAGCAGGGGTGTGCTTCCATAGAGTCCGCCAACTGAAGCTGCCATTTTCTCCAGGGGAACTGATATTTGTAGTACAGAGATGAGTAGTAATTCCAGGAGAACCCCAGGCCCCAACTGGAGGCTGGCAACCCTACTGCAGCCAGACATACAAGTGCAGTTTCGGAAACAAACGGGCAGTTCCAGAAATTTGAGTGACACAAAAGTTGTATTACGCTGGCCAATGATTAGGTGTAAAGCAAAGCAAAGTCATCATGGTTCTTCTAGAACCCCAGAACGTGACTGGGCACCACCGTTTCTCCACCCCTTTGCCAAGGACTCCCCCTGTATGCTCCAGGGCTACCATCCACAGTGTTCAGCAATGCCTCAGACAGGAAGGACACATTCCTAGAATGGAGGAGTCCCTTTCTCGTCAAGTCATGTGAAGTTGCCAGCATTGTGAGAAGGCAGTGATACACATACAAGGGAAATGCATGGGTATGTTGTACCAGCGTGTGCTACTCATGGGAATTAGAATCGTGTACTACTGTGCAGTTTCAAACTTTCCTTTTAAAAAGCCCAGTTCTATCGCATTGTTCTGGGCCATTTAGAACAATCTTTAACAAAGTTTTTATCATACCTTTTGGGGTATTGTGGTTAACATTTGGATGTTGCTGTTCATTGATTTTCCTCCCCCCAGGTTTATAGTTGTTAAAAATTATGAGCCAGAGTCTAGGTATTAAGAGTGCATGATATACATACTTTAAATATTAAACACCTTACTAATCTGGTACTGCAGGTTCTGAATGTAAAGGGCTTTCATACTCTATAAACATTTACTTGGAAATAAACTCCATTCTGAAATGATTGGGGCTAAATTCCAAGCACACTAAGTATCAGATGAAGGAAAGGACAGGAAATCTTATTTCCGGAGCAGCCAAAACAACACAGATTTGTTTCTAGGCTGTCTTGGAAAGATTCTGGAATTCACATGGCCTGTAACAGCTGGAGTTCTTGAGGGAGCAGTCACTCTTCCTGCTTCTCTTAATTGCCAGGGAAAGGAGGCTATGAAACATTTGCTAATTCCATGTAACTTTTCCTCTGGTGTTCCTGCTGTCCACGTTACTTGATTCTTGCTTGAACCTGGTCCAATAACGGAGGCGGTTCAATCTCCTGCCTAAAGTCAAAGCAGAAAATGTAGACAATCTTGAATGTTTACATGTAGGAAACACTTTAATCTTGGCAAGGATGAAGTAATTTCACATTAATGGCCGAAATCCATCTATAATGCTCTGGCTGTGGTGAGGGAAAGGTTTCATGTCTCAGCTCGGGAGCTATTGCAGGTATCTGAGGAGAGGAAGAAGAGAGAAACTGGAGGTGGGGGGAATGGCAAAAATAAATCTCCTCAGAAGTTTATTTTTGCCATTCCACTCACCTCCAATTTTCTGTAGCCACTGTATAATGGTTGCAGCACCTGAGCAAGCCAGCCGAACTACAAGTAAGACAGAATGTAAGAGACTTTCAGTAGGCCTCAGAGAGAGTAAAAGATTGTTCCAAATTTAAATCGTGTTGCCTAAATGTATGTTTTATACATGTGTCCTATTTTAATTACCAATCCCTCCCAGGGTTGTCAACCTCCAGGTGGTACCTGGAGATTTCCTAGGATTACAACTGGTTTTCAGGCAACAGAGATTAGTTCATCTGGAGAAAATGGCAGCTTTGAAAGGTGGAGTGTGTGGCAACTGGAAACCTCTGCTCTTACTGTTTATCTCCAGATGACAGCGATCAGTTCTCCTGGAGAAAATGGCTGCTTCAGTGGGTGGGCTCTGTGGCGTTATATCCTGATGAATTCCCTCCCCAAGCCCTACCCTCTCCAGGCCCCAACCCCTAAATCTCCATGTATTTTCCATCCCAGAGCTGGCAACCCTAAATACCCCACTGAAGTCCTTACCCTCTCCAAAATCTGCTGTCCTCAGGCTCCATCCCCAAAATCTCAAGGTATTTCCCAACCTGGAACTGGCAACCCTAATTCCTCCTCTCAGAATCAGGGGTCATTTCCTGCCAGAGCATTTCCTGCCAGTGCTCCGGCACTAAGGAGCCCAGGGGTGGGGTGGGGCCCCCCCCACCATCTGGGGGGATCTAAATGCCTTTCTTCCCTGCCCAATCTTCTCCAGGTGCCCGACAGCCACGGGGCACCTGGAGAACATCGGCCAGGGAACCCAAGCATGTTTGCCTGCCCACCCTTCCTTGCCTTCTCCAGCCACCCTGTCATAGTGGGTTGGCTGGGGAGGGGGAGGGGAAGGGGAGGCAGGCAGACCTGCCCCCTTTTCCCACTGAGCCTTTCTACTTTGGTGGAGAAACTCAGGGAAGTGGGGGGGGGGGCTTTAAATGCCTTTCTTCCCCTTCCCCATCTGGAAGGGATCAGGCAGGGAACCCAGGCATGCTTTCATGCCTGCCCTTTGCCAGGGGGTGTGGCATATGCAAATGAGCTATGCAAATGAACTCCTGCACCTCTTTTTCTACAAAATGACCCCTGCTCAGAATAAACATGGTTTATGTTTTGCGTTCTACTTGTGAAGGATGAAAGGCAGGCTGGCCAATCACTTTGGGGTCATTATCCCCCCGGGAGGCAGTGAGGAGGAAAAGGGCAGGAAAACTGAGACTGTCCGACATGCTGACGTCACTCCCTGTGAGCCCAGAAATGATGTCGGCACATTGCCAGAGACACTCTGGCACAGGGTTTTACCCAAATACCCCAGCATCTCTGGCAACGGACTGACGTCACTTCCGAAAGCACAGGAAATGATGTCAGCATGTCACTGGAGATGAAGGGGAGGCAGGCAGACATGCCCCCTTTCCCCACTGAGCCTTTCTACTTTGGTGGAGAGACTCAGGGAAGTGGGGGGGCTTTAAATGCCTTTCTTCCCCTTCCCCATCTGGAAGGGATCAGGCAGGGAACCCAGGCATGCTTTCATGCCTGCCCTTTGCCAGGGGGTGTGGCATATGCAAATGAGCTATGCAAATGAACTCCTGCACCTCTTTTTCTACAAAATGACCCCTGCTCAGAATAAACATGGTTTGTGTTTTGCGTTCTACTTGTGAAGGATGAAAGGCAGGCTGGCCAATCACTTTGGGGTCGTTATCCCCCCAGGAGGCAGTGAGGAGGAAAAGGGCAGGAAAACTGAGACTGTCCGACATGCTGACGTCACTCCCTGTGAGCCCAGAAATGATGTCGGCACATTGCCAGAGACACTCTGGCACAGGGTTTTACCCAAATACCCCAGCATCTCTGGCAACGGACTGACGTCACTTCCGAAAGCACAGGAAATGATGTCAGCATGTCACTGGAGATGTCATTGTGTTGCTGGCAATGTCCCCCTGCCAGTTTGCCAGGCCCTGCCGAGCAAACCACAACTGCCAGATAGGGCCTGGAGATCCCCCGGAATTACAGCTCATCTCCGCACTACAGAGATCAGTCCCCCTGAAGAAAACGGCTGCTCTGGAGGGTGGACTCTATGGCATTGTGCCCCAGTGAGGTCCTTCCCTTCCCAGTCTGCATCCCTGCATCTCCAGGAATTTCCCAACCTGGATTTGGCAACCCTAGAAAAAGGTAATTAGAAGGTCTGGGGAATTGCTTTGAAATCCTTTCTTCCTTTATTTGCCTACTGGCAATTCTGCATTGGTTACAGGGGCAAGACAGTGGGCTGGAGGCACCACCGCTTTCTCCTTTTCACACTCCCCTCCTTCCATTAACCAGCCATCACAAATAAGAAAATTACAGGATGAGCTCGTCTAGTGTGCTTAAGACTGCCTCTCTGAGCACAAGCAAAATTCCTGATTCCCGCAGGGGAACTATTCCCCAGACTGAGCAGTTTCCGGGGGCCTTTAACCCGCTGCTCGGAAAGGTCCAGAATCCATCAGATGGAAGAAGCGGAGCAGGCCTGGGTCTGGAGAGAGTCAGTAGAACCAGATGCCTTAGACACTCCTTCAACCAGTTTGGTTCTGGCATTTTGCAAAGGGGAAACCCAAGCGTGTAGGACTGCCAAGAAACTGAAGAATGAGTAGGAACGATGCTGGAGGCGGCCTCCAGGCTGCTTGGCTTTTTTCCATGATATCGAGCAGAGGCACCTATAGACCCTTCTTAAAGGGTTTTCTGTGATTACAAGAATATGTTGGGGAAATAGTCAAAAATGCTTAAATTGTTCAGAGTGTCAATGGATCTTGCTTCACTGAATGAGGAGACTTTCTTTCTGTTAAAAAGCTTTATTTC